CCAGGCGCAGCCTGCCGCAGCCGCAGGAACAACGAGATATAGTAAAATACTCCCTGGGGGAGGTGGAGGTACACCGACATATAGTAAAATACTCACCCACCTGGGTGAGGGTGGGTGAGCCGCAGGAACAATGACATATAGTAAAATACTCACCCACCTGGGTGAGCAGGTGGGTGAGGGTGGGTGAGCCGCAGGTACAATGAGATATAGTAAAATACTCACCCACCCTAGGGTGGGTGAGCAGGAGCGGGAGTAGGTCAGTAGGTCACCTTTTGGTGACCTTGTGACGTAATTAGTAACATTATGACGTAATCATTGACCTTGTGACGTAATCATTGACCTAGTTACGTAATTTTAACGAGTTTTTTAATTAGTTTAATGAGTTTTTTAAATTTTAATTAATTTTTTGACCTAGTTACGTAATTTTAATGCGTTTTTAAGGAGTTTTTAAATTTTTAATTAATTTTTATTATCGAGTTACGTAATTTAATTACTTTGATTGTATTTTTTATTTTGTTTAATTTGTTTGTTTACTTGTTGTTTAATTTAATTACTTTGTTTATATTGTGTAATTTTTTTATTAACGAGTTACGTAAATTTGACACGACGTACTATAACGTTGTTGATTTTTAAAACTTGAAGTTTATAATCTTAAGCAAATTTACCACCACCTTACCACCACCTTACCACCACCTTACCACCTTACCACCACCTAAGGTGATCAAAAATTAAGATGACAATGTAAGATATAGAAAAAGAAAATACATTGAGTGGTAAAAATAAAAAATTGTCATTAGACGTAATGTATTATGTATAAGTAAACTTTCTTAAAAATTAAAGAAGTTCAAGTCAAAAAGAAGATTGATGAAAACTGAAATACTAAAGCGAACATGGGAAGGTAATCTGCTGCAAGACTAAGATATATATTTTGTTAACCCTTGTCTTCCTAAATTATTTTTTAACTTTTTAAAGAAATTGACTGTTTAGTTAAGGATTCTGACGCGAATTTTTTTCACAAGGGACGATACTCGTGTCTGTAGACAAGGCTGTTCTAATTTTAGAACAGTTGTCTTTCCTCTCGTTTCTCTATTAGGGAAGCCGTAAGGGGAAGACACGCGACACGTCTTTTAAAATGTAAACAAGCGTGCACGGGGTGCACTTAAAATAAACCCCGCTGCGACAATTGTTAAATTTATCTGGCTCAGTGTGGTCAAATGGTGGTCAGATCAAAAGAAAATCGGAACGGTCATAAAAAACTTAATTACTTTTCCAGACTTGTAAAAAACATGTCTACCCACGCATACCTACGTACCAACGCACCAAGTCACCCTGTCGCCCATTAAAAAACACGAACCTACCGAGACTTTGTTTCGTCTCAAAACCTGACTTAACGGTGGTTGAAAGAAAATTCCGACCCTTAAATATATTTTTGTTTTCGCTGACCCTCGCTATAAGCGAATAGTTACAACCATTAATCTTTCATACATAGCAAGGGACGGTTCGCAGGACATGTGGAAACAAAATTTTTTAACTTGATCAAAGAATGACCGGGCGTACGATATGTGAACATAGTTCATGTACAGCTGTAGTCTAATGAAAAAAGCCGAGAGCCGTGACTAATTACAGCACCAGCTGTCGCCACACTTAACGCGGAGAGGGACTTAATGGCTTCGATTAATTACCTGTTGTGATCGCTTCAGTGAGCCCGCTATTAAACAACCACGGGGAGCGCCTGGGAGGATTACGGGCGGATCGATAAGTACAAGCTGTCGCTAATAAGTAACAGCTGTGGTTAAATGGATGTTATACACAATGACACTTTCTAGTACACGCTAGTGTTAGTCTTTTATTTCAAACGGCGTACAACAAAGAAATTAAAAGCAAACTAATTAAAATGAATTTCAAACAAATAAATTATACAAAGTAATTAAATTAAACAACAAGTAAACAACAATTAAAAATAAAATTTAAAAATAATAATTTAAAAAATTTAAAAAGTTAAAAAATTAAAATCAAATTACGTAACTCGTTAATAATAATTAAACTAATTATAAAATTAAATTAAAAAATTTAAAAATTAAAAAAAACTAAAATCAAATTACGTAACTCGTTAATAAAAAATTACACATAGATGGACCCTCATACTGATGGTCAGTAGGTGCGATCAATATTAACTTGGCCCTTGTACGGTGGTTGACAAGAACAAAGGATCGCATGTGGATCGATACGTGTCGGGTGCCATTAGCGAGTAACAGGTGTCTCTAATGGCTGTTTGTAGTCGACATAAACCCACGATGCATGACCAAATTAATTAGGCGGACCATCATTTGATGGCTGTGTGTGGAATCAATATTAACGCGCCCGTTGTCCCGATGGCTCCGTGGGTGCGATCAATACATTCCCATTAAAAGCGCAGCGCGTGTCAACAAAGGATCACGGATCGATAAGTAACAGATGTGGTTAAATGGATGTTCTATTTTCGGTAACCGTTCGTTGTGTTGCTGAATGGTCCATAACGTTGTTGATTTTTAAAACTTGAAGTTTATAATCTTAAGCAAATTTACCACCACCACCACCACCACCACCACCACCACCCGCTTGGTAACATCTGTCGCCAATAATTAACAGCAAACTAATTAAAATGAATTTCAAACAAATAAATTATACAAAGTAATTAAATTAAACAACAAGTAAACAACAATTAAAAATACAATTTAAAAATAATAATTTAAAAAAATTTTAAAAATTAAAAAAAAAAAAAATTAAAATCAAATTACGTAACTAGTTAATAATAATTTAACTAATTATAAAATAAAATAAAATAAAATTAAAAATAAACAAAATAAAAAATAATTAAAAAGTAAACAAATAATCAAATTACGTAACTCGTTAATAAAAAAATTACACAATATAAACAAAGTAATTAAATTAAACAACAAGTAAACAAACAAATTAAACAAAATAAAAAATACAATCAAAGTAATTAAATTACGTAACTCGATAATAAAAATTAATTAAAAATTTAAAAACTCCTTAAAAACGCATTAAAATTACGTAACTAGGTCAAAAAATTAATTAAAATTTAAAAAACTCATTAAACTAATTAAAAAACTCGTTAAAATTACGTAACTAGGTCAATGATTACGTCACAAGGTCAATGATTACGTCATAATGTTACTAATTACGTCACAAGGTCACCAAAAGGTGACCTACTGACCTACTCCCGCTCCTGCTCACCCACCCTAGGGTGGGTGAGTATTTTACTATATCTCATTGTACCTGCGGCTCACCCACCCTCACCCACCTGCTCACCCAGGTGGGTGAGTATTTTACTATATGTCATTGTTCCTGCGGCTCACCCACCCTCACCCAGGTGGGTGAGTATTTTACTATATGTCGGTGTACCTCCACCTCCCCCAGGGAGTATTTTACTATATCTCGTTGTTCCTGCGGCTGCGGCAGGCTGCGCCTGGTGGGTGAGTATTTTGCTATATGTCATTGTTCCTGCGGCTCACCCAGGCAGGGAGTATTTTCCTATATAACCATTGCTCCTGCTCCTGCTCCACCTCCTGCTCCTGCTCACCCATACTACCCAAAAGTGACCTAATATACTACTATTAACAACGTAAATAAACAACAATTTCTTTTTTTTTTTTTTTTCTTTCAGCATAGATTCAACATATCGACCTTGAAATATTTTTTTTTCAATTAAAATTTAGATGTGCATGAATTTAGTGGCTCGTTGGAGAGTGGGGAACTGTTGGGAGAAAAGGAAAGTGGGTCCCAAATGGTGTGTTAAATGGTAACAAGAAAATAGTGGGTCCCAAATGGTGTGTTAAATGGTAACAAGAAAATAATGGGTCTCAAATGGTGTGGTGAATGGTAACAAGAAAATAGTGGGTCTCAAATTGTGTGGTGAATGGTAACAAGAAAATAGTGGGTCCCAAATGGTGTGTTAAATGGTAACAAGAAAATAATGGGTCTCAAATGGTGTGGTGAATGGTAACAAGAAAATAGTGGGTCTCAAATTGTGTGGTGAATGGTAACAAGAAAATAGTGGGTCCCAAATGGTGTGTTAAATGGTAACAAGAAAATAGTGGGTCCCAAATGGTGTGTTAAATGGTAACAAGAAAATAGTGGGTCTCAAATTGTGTGGTGAATGGTAACAAGAAAATAGTGGGTCCCAAATGGTGTGTTAAATGGTAACAAGAAAATAATGGGTCTCAAATGGTGTGGTGAATGGTAACAAGAAAATAGTGGGTCTCAAATTGTGTGGTGAATGGTAACAAGAAAATAGTGGGTCTCAAATTGTGTGGTGAATGGTAACAAGAAAATAGTGGGTCTCAAATGGTGTGGTGAATGGTAACAAGAAAATAGTATGTCTCAAATTGTGTGTTAAATGTGTACTAGATAAATAACAGGTCTCAAATGATTTAAGAAATGGTGACAGAAGAAAGAGTCTAAAATGATGTAACCTATTGAAAAGAGAGATGAGTGGGTCTTAGTTGGTGTGACGAATTGTAACAGTAGGGATGGGTCTCAAATAATGTGACGAATTGTGACGGGGAGGGGGTCTAAAACGGTGTGACAAATTATGAAAGGAGGGGGATGGGTCTAAACTAGTGGGACAGGAAACTTGTGTGTCTAAACCGGTGTGACAAATTGCGACAGCAGGAAGAGAATCTGAAATGGAGAGAGAAATTGAGACGAGAGATAAATTGGTCTGATAGTTGATAAAAGGTGATACAATGAAAGGAACATACATTTCATGACAATTGTGGGCAATAAAAGTAAACAGTGTATTATTACATTTTATTTATGGGAGTAGCGCATTAACTAAGGTGAAACAGTCACCTGAATGAAGGCGGGGCAGCCACCAGGATAATGATGTTTATTATTCTAAAGTAAATAAATGGAACGACCTTCAAGCCAAAACACTTTTTTTATTTCTATTTAATCGTGGACTTTTAATAATAATAATTTTGAAATTCATGCCTTACCTTATTTATGAAGAAAAACACTTTTTAAAAATAGTCCAGTTTACTAACTCTCATTATATCCTTAAGTCAAATTATTATTTTTTTCAATTTCAAATAAATGTTGTATTAAAGTAAAAATCTTCACAACACAGCCCACAATCCAGAAATACAAATCCCTGAACAACACAAGAGCGAAAGTCTCGAAGCACTAAGTGAAAGGTTTTATCTGTGTTGCTATGTTGCCGTGTGTCTCAGGCCGCCGTGTGTAGAGTGGCGAATAGTGAAAGTCCAATTTCGACAGTCTTAGTTACAGGCCCGGCGTCCGTGGAGACATTGAGAAGGGGCATAACTGCGACTAGTAAAAGGGGACACAAGCGTTCTCATCCCCTATTGATCCGAACAAATATTTCCATTATCGATCGCTTGAAGGGACTTAGCTCGACAAATTACATTTGAGCTTTTCGTTTTAGTTTTGGCAGTTGTTTAAAGTCTTTCTTTAATGGACAGGTGAATGAAGATTTTAAGACAGGGAACCAAATCGAGAGTTGTATACAGGTAAACATGGAATAAAAGACCACGGCTGTTATTTGAGACTAGATAAGAATTGTCAACTTTGTATCTCAGAAACAAAACAAGTACTTTAGTGGAATACATACAATTGTATACCGAGTTTTATTTAACTTACAATAATCAATTTTGTAAAGGTGGTACTGCAAATTATGAATAGTCGCTGCGTCAGCTTCACATAGCTGCAGCTTAGTGAGGCAAGTAGGATTATATGAGGATTGTATAAAGATTATATGAGGATTCTATAAAGATTATATGAGGATTGTATAAAGATTATATGAGGATTGTATAAATGAAAGAGGATTATATGATAATTTTTGAAGATTGTGAGAGGGTTGTACGACGACTGCATACTTAAAAGAGGATTATATTAGGATTGTTTGAAGAATTAGAGAGGATTTTATGAAGATTGTATGATTATCGTGTCTACTTGAGGCTTAACTTTTTACTCGTCACAATTTGTCGAACCGTTTCGACTACACCCCCCCCCCCCCCTCCTGTCACAATTTATCAACAAGAACGAAGCTCAATAACTCGTTGGCAATATTTGAGATAAAAATCTGACAGTCTCAAGGAAATTATGAGATTTAATGCTAGTATTACTTTTATAAAAATTAAATTAGTCGTTGTGGCAAAAGACAAATCTCTATATTTTAGCCCTGTATTAACCACACTAAATAAGTTCATTTGACTGTTTTTATTTTTTTCTTAAGAGCATAAATCGTAGCAATATTCCCGGGGCCATTTCTTATTTACTGTGCTCGCCATTGTGTCCGGTAGCCGAGCCACAAATGTCAACAAAGAATGGTGCCGCGAACTTCGATCTGACAGTTTTCATTGGCGGTGCCAGACATGATTTCTTATCAATAGGCGAGGTTTTTTTTTTTGTTAGGAGTAGACATTCAAACATGTGAAAGTGTAGAAATCAATGTGTTATTAACAATCTAAAAATTGATTTTAAATTATTCATAACCTACCTAAAAGGCCTACATTTATTAGTTTTATGTACACATTATTTTTTTTTAAAAATCCTCCATCTAAGTTTAGAAGATTTTTCTTATAAATTTTTTTTTTTATATTTCTTTTATCCTAACTGGTATTACAGTTGTTTTTTTAATGATATCTTCTTATCAATGATAAGCTATTACCTATTTAAATGAAACATTTTTTCTGGTTAATCCCCTTTGATGATTTGTTATAGATGTGACAGAAGGAGACAATTTTATCTAAAATATTTGTATAAACATTTGTCGCGCCAATATATAGGGGCCTAACTATTTATATTTTATACACATACACACACACTCACACACACAAACACACTCATATATATATATATATATATATATATATATATATATATATATATATATATATATATATATATGTATATATATATATGTATGTATATATATATGTATATATATATATATATGTATATATATATATGTATGCATGTATATATATATATATGTATGTATATATATATATGTATGTATATATATATATATATATATATATATATATATATATATATATATATATATATATATATATATATATATATATATATCACCACAAGAATTTTAAGAACCTGAACTTGTTGTTGTAAGGCGACACTTAAGCACCGTCGTTAATACCTGTAACTTAACATAAGAGAGTTTGTATTTTGGGCTCCATGTATATGGGGGGGGGGTAGTATAACCTCCCATAACACAGTCTTACACCGCGTGTATAACATAATTTGACGTCTTTGAATTCGATCTGAACTTCGAGTCACTCGGTGCTGAACCTATTCAAGATAAAACTTCGTGTTGTATGGGGTAGAGACCAGTTTAACACCTCTATACAGGCTACATTCTCACGGTCTTTCTTACCTGATACTGGACATGGAAGTCCTGATAGAGGTAACATGTCATTCTGGACCGCCCATAATGGCGTCACTCAATTAATGGGGTGGGTGATGTATTCATAACCCAAAAGTCCCGAGTTCGAACCCTAGGAGAGTGTTAAAAAGTCTTTTAATAGCAAATTTGACAAATCCCGACAAGGCAAAGCGAAAGTTTGAGGGGGGGGGGGGTGCAAATCGAAAATTGAAAGTTAGTTCCCGGGCGCCGGGAAGGGTCGCTACGCCTCTGTGTGGTTGCCACCTTTAAGTGCCGCACCGGGTGACACCCGACCTCGCTACGCCACAGGCCTTAGGTAACTATTAAGTAACTCTTCTTTCTTTTTCCTAACAATATTTAGCTAATAAATAATATATGGCTGCGTTTTAAGAAGTCATATCTATCACGCACTACTACCCTACGGAAATAAATATTTATTAAATACAATAGGCATAGGCCTTGGGGGTCATCAATAAATGACGTCACGCTTTTTTGACGATTTTTACCTCCCCCCCTCCCCTCCGTCACAAATCGTCACAAAAAGCCAGCCCCCCCCCCCTTAAAATGACGTCACACCTCAGCCTACAACCCCCCCCCCCCTCAAATTGCAGTTGAATTTTTTTTTAAACTTCCATATTTATCCAAAATCTTGTCTGAACTGTCAAAATAGAGTATTTTAATCAATTCCTAGTACAATTTATTAAAACAGTTTTCTAAAACGCAAAATAATGTCTAAAATTCGTTTTCTAGCATTGCTTTTTTTATAAGGCGAAAATGTGACGTCGCACCATCTGAAACCCCCCCCCCCCCCTCCCCCTCATCACACACTGTCACAAAATTACGGACCTTCCCCCCCCCCCCCCTCCCCCCTCCGAGTGTGACGTCATTTATGGACGACCCTTTGGTATATAATTTTAATTTTAAGTTATAAACTTCAATATCCGGTATTGCACCAACAACGACAACCTCACTAAAGGAACAGAGCTGTCACATTGGCAAATTGATAATTGGTTTTTTTTTCTGGGTGTTTTTGGAAAACGCTGGTCTTTCTTGGTGAAATACCTAAAGCAATGAAATAAGCAGAGTTTTAGAAGTATTTACCTAGCTTTTACTGTTCTTTTAAAACTTTATTATTTAATAATACATGCCCTTCTACAAATGCATAACTAAATTATGAAACAAATGTTTCTAAATAGGCTACGTCCATAAACCTAGATGGAGTAATACACGACATTCAAATCATGTAAACTATCTAGAATATTTCAGAAATTTTCAAAACTCTTATTATATAGCATTTTTTTTGACGAGTTGGAATAAATTTCATTCCGCTTATTACTTAAGGGATTAGACCTTAAATTTAAAGTTTTTATCTGGCATTAAGCTTTTTTTAGTTGACCCTTGCATTCAGTTGTGCAATCATTGTTTACAGAATTAGATCTAGATCTATATAAAACGAGTACTCGTGAAGCTTATTCACTGGTTAATTTAGATCTGAAAAAAAGATATAAATTAAAAAAAGAACAACTGCTGTAGTTTTAAATACGTTAACCAGTAGGTCGATATAGCCAAGGAGTGTTAGACTACTAGTCTAGAGTCTAGATCTTGTGACCAGTTTTCTTGGCCACTTGAGTTAACTTTACTTGAACTTTGACCGGACTTCAGATCTAGTCTTCAATCAGGTTAATTTTAGACCTAGAAATCTAGCTAAGTTTCTAGATTCTACATCTAGTTTCTAGATCTAGTACTTTAATACACTTTTGTCCCATTCATTTTCTAAAAAGGGATACTTTGTGTAAAACTTTAGAAATTTTGGAAACAAGCTCTAGTACTATTACTACTCAAGTAACAACCTTGGAAGAACAAAGTCTTCTGAATAACAGCAGTACTTCTCATCTAATGTCATTACCTGTTTGCAAGTTTTTCAACACAAATCAGACATGCAGATTTGGTAAATACTGTAAGTTTTCTCATTCAACTGCAGACCGCCCTCCTTCGTTAAAAAACAGTGAAATTCATCATGAAGAACTAAAACAGCGCGTCGACCACACAGGTGCTGCTAGTGCTACTGACAGCGTACACAATCTAACAAGTGATTGTTCTGAAAATGAGAAGCTATTGAACGAGGAGCAAGTTTCTAGTGAAACCAGTCAAACACAACAGACACCATCAAATAGTGGTCAGAATGCAGGCTCATCAGTGAACAAGAGACCTACATCAAGAAAAATCTGTTATTTTTTTTCAAGTCAAGGTTATTGTCGATATGGAAGATTTTGCAATTTTTCCCATGCAATATCAAAAAAGGATGGTCAAAGTAACCATGATGAAAACAAATATGATAAAACCAGACAGAGAAAGGAAATTCCACCTCGATTTAAAAAATCTGAGGAATCCAATACTGTATCAAAAACAGAAAATCTGACTGAAGAAGTTGAAAATGAAGAAAAGGATACACTTCCAACCCAAAATCAAGCCCAAGACTTGAAGTATCCTCCTAAAAAAGCTGAAGAAAATAAAAGGATCTGTCGGTTTTTTAAGTCAAATCGATGTTGGAGAGGGGGAAAGTGCCGATTTGAGCATCCTAAGACTTCACATGCTGATGAGATTGCTGGAGGAGGCACATCTGTTAAAGATAATGAACCTGTCACTTCCAATGAGCCAGAGGAGGAAACAAAGAATGAAGGGTCACAGAACAAGAGTAAACAGTCCAAGCCACCTCCTGGTAAACAAATCTTTACCCTCCTGGAGTTGGAGAGATACAGTATTGATGGCTTAAGAGATTCTGAGATTCAGTCTATCAAAAAAAGATTTCCTAAAGATAAAATTACAGTAATTACAGATGAGGAGATATTTTCTGCCAAAGTCATCTTCACTCCAACTGATCCAGATTGGGTAAGATAAATTATGCATAATTTTTTTTTTGGTATACCACATGTTATGGGTCATTTTGTTAGTTTGTACCAGTTGTATCATAAATATAAATAATTGCAGTCCTTTCATATTTGTATTATTCTACCATAACATATCACTTCAAAGTGCACATTAGTGTAGTTGATAGGTTTGTATTTTTTACCTCACTATATTGAAAATAATATACTTGTTTCAGCCATTTGATGTCAAGCATTATGAGCTGCTCATAAAAATACCAGCTGATTACCCCAAAGAGGTATGTATGTTTGGGCATATATCTATATATCTTAGAGAGCGAGAATGGAATGTTGAAGAGTAAGTTGTCTGTTCATATTTTTTTATGTAGCTTATAACTGACTTCGCTACTGTTGCTTTAAACTGAATTTTTTTGTTTACTAGATGATGCATGTTGAGCTTCCTACAGAGCAAGATTTACCTGAAACAGTCAGGAGGTAGGTGTAACAAATGTATTTCAGAGTCATACTTAGCTTTACATTGTTTGTAAAGTTGGATTTTAATATAATTTTAACTTCCTATTCCAATGAAGTAATGAAATTTAAAATGCCTAAACCATTTACTGGACTTTTTTTTTTGGTTTACTTTATCTAATAGATATGTGGATGTCAGCATCAATGAATTTCTGAGTTTAAGGAAAGTGCAGTTAAGAGCTAGCAATAAAGTTGAACTTTTGTTCAGGCCATTTCTGCGATGGTTGGATAGACACATTGAAGACATTACAACAGATGCTCTTAAGCAGGTATTTTATTTTAGTTTGTTATGTGGATAAATATTTAGATTCCAATACCATGATATTTCATCTATACAATGCTTGCTATATTTTATTAAAACTTCTTTTTTTCCAGTTGAAGAGAGAACTTGTAGCAAGAGCTGCTGGCTTAGAGTTTATACCTGCTGAAAAACTGAAGGCTAGATTTCAGGCTGTCAGTGAGTCTAGTGATGGTAATGGAGACAGCCAAGAAGATGGAGATGATGCTTCTGGTGATACTTCTAGCGAGCAAGAGGAGTCTAGTGAATATGAAACCTCTGAAGAGGAAGATGATGAAAATACAAACCCCACACAAAATCTAGATCCAGATAAAAAGGGTACTGAGGTGGCATTGCGAAACTTACAACTAAGGGAGAATGCCTCAGCCCTTTTGCTTGAGACACTGAAACTTGTTCTTCAGTGTCAAAGATGCAAGAACCATTCTGAGCTGATTGTCCCTCATGGCAGAGTGATGTCCCTTCAGTGCATCAAGTGCAACCAGAAACAGTTTGTCAATTATCGTGCAGCTCTGATGCATCAATTTTCCTCCATTGCTGGTTATTTAGATGTGGACGGATGTCAGGCTTTTGACCTCATCTTCCAAGACAGCCGTGCTGCTGTTACATGTCTGGCATGCAGTAAACAGACACGCATAAATGTAGGTATTTTATTGTGAAAAAAAAAATGCTCTGGTTACCATCAGTATTTTAAAAATTCTTTTATAGACAATAAATTATCTGATTCTAATTTGTCTTTTAACCATGCTAATATAATGAAATTTATTTAGTTATTTATGTAGCTAATAAATTAATAATTAAACTTTTTTTTCCAGGGTTTGGTTACAGGTCAGCTGATTGATGGGTGGTGTCAAGCCTGTAATGCTAGGTTTAAGCTGGCCAGTGAATCTGTTAAGTTCACTCAGCTCGTCCAGTCTGTTATTGATACAGGTATCATTGATTTTTTTTTTTCATTTATTTATAACACTTTAAGTTGTGAATAGATTTTGGAAATTCTGTTTGCTTCCCTTAACTTGTGATGGCTCTCTTTTCAGCAGGAAGTAAAGTAGTTGAGGTTACAACAAGTAAAGCCAAAAAGCCACCTAAAGATCCAGCAATTAGGGAGGGCTATCCTTTGCCTGAGTTTGGAACTTGCAAACATTATAAGCACAGTTATCGTTGGCTAAGATTTTCTTGCTGTGGAAAAGTCTACCCTTGCGACATCTGTCATGACAAGAAAGAAGATCATGAAATGGAGATCGCAACAAGAATGATATGTGGACACTGTTGTAAAGAGCAGGTTTGTACTGATGTCAGCTTAAAACTTCTTCATTATCAGTAAATATTTTTTAAATACATTTTTATTTTTAAAAATTAATTAATTAAAAAAGTGCTTTTTGAGTAAAACTGATTTGCTTTGAAAATAAATTCTCTGAAATATTGTTAATAGAATTTTGCTGGTATGCGGCCATGCAGTGGATGTGGACAGCACATGACTAAAGTCAGATCCGCACATTGGGAGGGAGGTACTGGATGCAGGGACAAAATAGCCATGAGTACAAAAGACCAGCAAAAGTACAAGAATATGAATAAAACCCTGTCCAATCATAAAAAGAAAGTAGAAAAGGGAGCTACCAAGAAGAAAACTACAAAGCTCAGACATAGTTAGAAGTAATATTGTTACTTTTTATAATTTGCTATTGTATTGTTTGTTCAAACATTAATTTTTACATTTGAACATTTTTTTAAAATCTTTTTTTTTTGGTACTCCATTATTATAACTTACAATTTAATTATTCTCTTATAATACAAGAATAAACAGGTTTTTTTTTTCAGAAATAATATACTCAGTCCTAAATAATGTAATTATGTTTCAAATTAAAATACTGTCACTTTTTAAATGTAATTTACTTGCAATACTTTTTTAAAGTAATTTTTATCGTCTTTTTTTTTACATATCTTACTATTCTTCAATTTCAGAACAATAAAAAAATAAATATTTATTTTAAATGAAGTCAATATTTTGTTTTGTATTTTAATAATTAATCTTTATTTAAACACAATTACCAACGAGAAAATGAAATTGTTGACTTTTGAAGGATACTATTAGAGTTATCTCCCTGTTCATCAGATGGAGTTATTTGCTTAAAATTTAAATACATCAAATGAGGAGCTTAAACGCAAAAAGGCCCCCTTTTTAAATTCAACCTAACCAGTTCCAGCTATGCATTGAATTTTATCACCCACAAAAGAGTAAAAAGAGAAGGTGATATAAAATGAACTATCAATTTTCAATGCCAGTACTTGCTAATTTTTATTTAAACAGAATGGTGTTTTTTAGAATGCACTTAAGCCCTTTTGCATTTGGGCTCCTAAAATATTTTGAGATGTTTTTTTGTTTTGTTTTTCAATTATTTGTTACAAAACTTATGTTCACTTTTATATCCATATTGTTTTCCTATATCTGTCAGCAGCATATGCAAACAGATATAAGACCTTGCAAATGACTGAGAATACATTGATTAAGCATACTTCATGCAGGCATGTTAGTTTACTGCAAACGTGGTTTACTGCACACAATTTTGTATATTTTTGAAACATATCAAATATTTAAAAGATCACTTAATTAGAACACAAAAAAAAATTCATTATTGTAGAATGTTTGCTAACTTCTGCATTGTTACGATTATACTATATTTTGTATTGAGGAAACTTAATAAATTACAGTACTTAAAATAAGAGAATGGTTGTTTAATATTTAAAATTAAGTTTATTTCATTAAATCCAAACTAATTCTTATTTACTAATTTATAGTTGGTTTACTAAATTACTTGTTCAAATTTCTTAACTAAAGGGAAGTAATGTATGAAGACTACACACTGTAAAAGATAGTGACAAAAACTGTAATTTGCTTTAACACAAATCCTTCATGCAACATTATTATTATTAAATAGAGCTAACTGTAGACTTGCATATTACTTCTGTTTGAACTAGTGTTAGTCAACCCTAATGGTTTTTTTTTCACCGAGCTTAAGAATTGCAGGTACTTGCTTGGAATTTTTATACATATCTGTTTGCCTACTTTAGGCCTACAGTAAATGTTTAATTTTTAAAAGTAATGAAACCACTGAGCATGTCTGTAATAGGCCCACTTCTGGATCAGATTGGGCAACGTTACAGTACTTACGAAAGTTTCATTAGCTGAAGTTTAGATTTTAGAGATTTCAGATATTGATGATCAAAGATCTTTGCTGAGGGGAAATGGGAGGGGCACGATTTTTGATCAGATATTGTGTTCATTCATTTCATTCCTCGATATAAAAGGCAACAATTTGTTATCTGACAATTTTAGACAGGACAATGACTGGACTCGTAGGATCGTATGGTTGCTCGATCTGAGCATTGGTGGACAATTCAAAGGGGTGAATATTATCCTTAGGCTCATTTCAGGGTTCTTTTTAAACTTTCACAGGACCGGATCTAGATCTAGCTATCTAGGCTGACTCTTAGTTTGTAATTTATATCAATAGTGTCCTACAGAGAAGCCCATAATTGTGAAGGTTAGTGGGTTTTACTGGCAGTGGTATCTACACGTATAGGAGTCTGTGGTATATCTACACATACACGGGACAGTGGTTTATACACATCATTATCATTCGTGTAGACCCCTTGTAATGAAAAGGGACTCCGCCACGCTCTCCATCCTACTTGGTTCTAGGCGATTCCTCAAAGTTGGGTCCCTGACATTCCGGCTGCTTCTGGTATATTTACGCCTACAGGAGACAGTGGTATATCTAGAAATGTACGAGACTGTAGTATATCTACACATAAGTAGAAACATTTTAAAATAGTTCACTGTGGTTCCCTCTAGTTACGAACGACTAGGATACGGGTAATTTCGAATAACGAACACCTGAGTTTCTTCAATCAACTCCGATATGAAATTTTTTTTTACTTTGGTTAATCAGAGTTGTCGGTCTTGATACAGCTTATAGTATTTTTTATAAACGACGTCAGATTTTAAATTTTATTCCCCCTCCCCTCCGTCACACATCGTCACAAAAGCCACACCCCCCCCTTAAATGACGCCACACTTCAGCTTACGAACCCCCCTCAAAACTTCAGATGATTTTTTTTAACATCGATTTTTTGTTTCTAAACAATTGACTGTGCTCCGCTAACAGAGTATTTTAATCAATTTCTATTACAATTTATTAAAGCAGTTCTCTAAAACGCTATAAAACGGTTTAAAAAATTAGTTTCTAGCACTCCTTTTTTTTTAAAATTCAAAAGTGTGACGTCACACTATTTGAACACCCTCTCCCGCTCATCACACATCGTCACAAAATTAGGGACTTCTTCCCCCGTGTGACGTCGTGTGTGTAAGAGACTGAGGGGGCGGAGCGATCGTGTTTGAAATAAATTGCTATTTTATACTCAGTTAATGCATTCAAATGAAGATTCGAGTTTTCATCTCTCGGCCGTGTAAAAAAAAAAACTAATTTAAAATATATTTCCCCATACTTCCGATCTAAAATATGATGTTACAGTGATTAAAAATTAGTATCCCCCCCCCAGAGGCGTAGCGAGGGGGGGGGGGGGGGGGCGGGGGTGCGGACCGCACCGGGTGACATCATTTAGGGGGGTGACACCAAGGCAAAAAATAGCAAAATAAAGAGAGAAAAACTTGAGGGAGGGGGTGCAAATCGAAAACTTGAGGGGGGGGGGGTGCAAATCGAAAGTTTGAGGGGGGTGCAAATCGAAAATTATAAAGTTTGTCCCCGGGAAGGGTCGCTTCGCCTCTGGGGGTGACAACATTAAGTGCCGCACCGGGTGACACCCGACCTCGCTACGCCACTGCCCCCCCCCCGCCTATTTAATGCAGTACACAATTCAGTTAATTGCACCGTCCAGTTTAATGCCCTTAACAGTGCAATTTCATAGAGCAATGCAATAATGTTTTCAGGCGCAGTGGCGTAGCCAGGATCGTCTCAAGGGGGGGGTTCCAATTTTTTACCCGGGGACAAACTTTCGATTTGCACCCCCCCCTCAAACTTTCGATTTGCACCCCCCCCTCAAACTTTCGATTTGCACCCCCCCCTCAAACTTTCGATTTGCACCCCCCCTCAAACTTTCGATTTGCACCCCCCCCCCCTCATACTTTTTATATATACCGAGGGGTCTATGGGGGGGGGGTTATGACCCCCCCTAACCCCCCCCCCTGCCTACGCCACTGTTCAGGCGCTCCATTCTCCGCCTTTCCGCGCTATTGTTATTAATGCTCATGACCTCGACCGTGGTTTACAAATACTTGTAATAACAAGAGCTCTCCTGTCACTGATGATTCGAAAGTGTCACGGTGCTTTTGACAGCAGTTGACCTGAAGTGTATTGTAATGACATTTCACATCAAAACACACTCATCAACATTCGGCATACGCTTATTTAGAACTACTTTATGTCTACTTTCGATGTCCGTTAAATGTAATAAAAATCTGTTTGTTCCCACTAAAGAGTTGATTTAAAAAAATAGCATTACTTATCCCGTCTTTTGCAATTGTCAGACTTTCTTTTGGGCATCTCTTTTTTTTTGGCGGGGTAGGGGGTGTCATGGACGAAATGAATAATTTACATATAATAATTGTAATGTATAGAAAATATATTCTTTAACCACCAGCTGCCCACCCCCATGAGTTTTAATTTGCCCCCCCCCCCTTCGGATATAAACATCTGAAAGAAATCCTGGATTGAGCCTTTTGTGACACCACGTGACGTCACATCTGGACTTGACGACCATATATTTGTATGTGAATTTGTTCAAAGCATTGCTATTTAGTTTGTTTTTGTATTATTTTATTTTGTACTCAATACACCCGTTTTTTTTTCATTCATGTACTCGCTCAAAAATCAATAAGACAAGCCTCTAATATAAAACTTTACGTTTTAAAGTAATATCAGCAGTTTATCATTGTACGTGGCGTCTATTTGTTTGATGCTAACCATAATCCAATCTCCAGTTTCATTGATACTCATATGCGCGTATTCGTGTTTTGTCCTGTCTAACCCATAATCCAGTCTCCAATTTCGCACATTCGTACTAGCCTAGGGGGTCTTTGTTTTGTCCTACCCATACCTTACCCATAATCCAGTCTCCAGTTTCATGGATATTCGCTTACTAGCCCAAAATCTAACTTGATTAGACCATCTATCCGATAACTAAGATACGATAGTCGAAACATAAAGATACCAATAGCGCAGTTCGACATAATTATAGTGTTTTCACGGCATGCCAACAATTAAAACATTTATTATGTAAAAGAATTACTTAAAACGGCTGAGCCTCACAAAGGTGTAGCCGCCCCTTTTTTGGGGCCAACTTTATATGAGTAATTTGGACACGCTGCTAATGATGTGATTGGGGAGTTCGTTGGAGGGAGAAAGGGGGGGGGTTAAAGTATGTGTCAAACATTGATCAGACTACATGAGATCTTCTAAATTCATTTAAATTCTTTTAGGCATATGGAGATTTTTTTTCAAACTTATAATAAAAAATATTTGATAAAGAATGCATAAAGACAATACAAATATAGTTATATGATGGCCCTACATAATATAATAAAACGCTGTATTTTCGATTTTGCAATTTTTCAAAATCAATAGCAAGAATAAAATTATTTAGTGTAGGCCTATTTCCCGCCATTATACAAATCTGATGTAGAATCTACTGTTCTATCAAAAATATACAACTTGTTAATGAAAAAGACCTGGAGACGAAACGCCAGTTATTTTCTAGGGCAAAGCCTATTTAATAACATGAGCCTTAGCCTTCTACTTGTGTGGATTCCCCCCCCCCCTCCCCCACAAAAAAAGGTGTCAAAACTCTACAATTTCTTTCTGCCGTTTCACTTTACGGAAGTAAATGCCATGGATTTCAATTAACTGTTTATATGCTAATGCACACAAAAATTGGTCACACTCCGGTAGATATCATATTGAACAAAAGAAGCAGACAAATCTGTTATCATGCTAGCTGAACTGTATGAAAACATCGCTGTTGACCCCGTGTAGCTTTTGACCTTATAACTATACACAGAGATAACCACCTCCCCCTATAAGTGAAACATCAAAGGACTTCCGTTCCAAAAGAATAATCAATTATTGAAAGTAGCTCCAAATATTTATAATCTTATGAAACCACTGTTTGATAAATCAAAGGAAGTCGGATGTTGATAAAAAATATAATTATAGTAACATTGGTTCATTTGGAAATATTCATTTTGTAAATACAAAAGAACTACAAAAAATACGCGCATGTGTATAAATTGAGTAAAACGGCATTTCGTATTCATTCTCTGACCAAAGCATTGGCCCGAATATTTTGTTTACAGTTTTTTATGTGCCCGATCGCCCTCATGTGTGTTCATATATGGCTTCAGCACTTTTATACCTCGGCTTTCTGTTTGCGATAACATTAACATGTATCCGTGCTAAGGGTATGTTGAAATTTTGTATGTTATACGTGTTTATAAACATATGCCTGACTCAAATTCACTAACACGGTGTGACCTCGCTCATGGAAGAAAAACAACATGGCGTCTGCCCCGAGCAGGGCACCCTCTGAAATCAGGCCAAGTGGACAGATATTTTTTGTACATTCCCTAAATGATTTATAGTCAGCTTATACTTTGTATTTTTAAGAATAAAGCTTTTGCCATAGCCCCATGAACCCATAACAAACAACACTGTCACTAAAAATAGTTCCATTTATGCGCCAGTATTTTGGTTATTCGGTACTGTAGTACTGTTACCAACTGGTCTAATAAATAAACAAATGATACACGCAATAGCACGCATCGCATTGAAGTTGGTCGCAATGATCTTCGATGTTGTTGTTGATATTTCATCATAATTAGAGTCTATTTATTAGTCACGAATGGATGGCGATAAAGCCACTATAATTCACTATATTTTTGCACAGTTTAATTTTGGTAAACAACACACTGAATACTGAATGAATACATATTTAGATTTAGAGATTTAATTTTTAAAAAATACCAATTTACTAGCCTAGGTTAATTTAATTAGTAGGACTGAGCTAAAAAATAATATAAAGTGCAATTGAATTTTCAACTCAAAATCTAGAAATCTAGATACCACATTCTACAATAACCACTGGGTGCAGGGTATTAACCTAACAACAATAAATTAATTGGTTAATCTATAAAATTTAGGCGTAAATCTAGTGATGAATTAATAGTCAAAATAGAATTAAGAACGTATATAACCTAACTATAATGTTCTAAATAGTGAATAATAACAGTAGCTAAGTTAAAGCAGGTTAAAATGACATGGGCTATTGATAACCTACTCAACTCTAGTTCTAATCTTAATTAAAGTAGCTTTTAGAGATAGTCTCATTAATGATGAATTAAGGAAAATTAGACGTGGCTTAATTCATGATATATATTATTTTGTAATAGGCCTATTCTTTTTATAAAGATGATAACTTTAAGTGTGTTAGTTTGATTAGGCCCTAAGTTTAACTTTAATAAGTTATTTGAAAAATCAAAGGAGTTTGCCCCACAGTGAGTTAATCTATTCACACAATAAACAGTATCATGCCATTACGTCAAGTTTACTTAAAATAATTAATCCAATAGTTTATGATGATTTGAATCACAAAAGATATGATTTAAAAAAAATTGTCATTTATTCATAGTGATTATAAGTATATTTTCAATTGAATTTCTCATCTTACTGATTTGTTTATTAGAATCATGACAAATAATTTTTTCTATTAAGTTTATATGAAGTTGTTTTAATATTATCATTTACTGATGTAAATATAATTGGTTTACAATGAGAAATCCTGTTAATTTAAAGCATTCACTATCCCAGCCTTCTAGAAATTAAAATGTATTTTAATAACATTTATTTAAACACTAATTTTATTTATCAAGTATTATCCTATGATGTGACTTTGTGTAGCTAGATTTAAAAATGTATTGTGTAATTTGACTGTTTAGTATATATCTTTAATTCCTGCAATACTATGTTAACAAAGGGCTCATTATATTTATACTGTAATGTATTGTAAATTCATTTCCATTTTTTGAATACTTATTTTATTTTAGCAGTGTTAAAATTTTAAATTCCTGTTAAGTTTCCAACTAAAAGGCACTGTGGTGCAATGCATAGTAATTAAGTTATGCTTGCTAAAAATGTTATTTTTTTTGTTTCCCTTTTCCATTTACCAGAAACTGAAGTATATGACACCAAGATCAATTCAGGGCTATCACTTATTCCAGATGATCACATTATTTCTGTGCTTGACAGTACAAAACCAGTTTTAATTAACTGCTCTGTGTCTGTGAATAATCCTAAGCTTCTACCTCTTCGCTACCATTGGTACCTCAATGGCAGTGAGATTGCCTCAACTCGTAAAAAACCCCGAAAAGGAAATAATCGGAAACTGCCACAGAAAGGCTCCAAGAAGTTCAAGCTTCATAACAATGGTTCCCTGGAGTTAAAACCAAGGCAGCGAGCTAAAAGTCGAAACACCAACAGGAGGTCTGAGTATGATGGAGTATATGAATGTTTTGTAAACACTTCTTCTGGTGATGTGCTCTTGGCAAGGAGGGTTAAAGTGGTCACACCCGGTAAGTTTTGGTATTTCATAGCTACTGTTTTGGTAGAGTTTATTTACAGATTGATATTATTAGTTCTTTCTTTCTGGAATACTTTATGACTACAATGTGAAGTAAATTTTCTGAAAATTCTTTAACTATTTCATTTATTTTTAGTAAAACCAAATTCTGGAGAGAAGAAAATTTATTAAATGGATCTTTTGTTTTGCTATAGTTTACATAATTTGCAGCGCATTCAAAACTACATTATTGTCTAAAATGATTCAATTAAGCTTCTGATTAGCTAAAAATATATCTCAGGCATATGTTTGTTTTTTACATTTATATATAAACTCGCTGCATTAATTAAAAACAATTCAATTTGAATAGCCGTTACGCATATTTTAGTTTACGATGGTTAAAAACCTTAAAGAGGAAAAAAGACAATTCACTAAATTAATAATCTGGTCCTGGCTTCTTTTAAAATACATTTTGACAGGTAACAAATATTCTTTTTGACAAGAATTACGATTCTCAACATTTGATCACATTTAGCCATCAACTGCAATTTTATAACTTTTAATGTGTTTATTGTTCATTGTTTCAACACCTATCTTCCATTTGTTCTGCATGTTTCTGGATAATTTAATAATAGGGTGCCATTTGTAGATAATTCTTAGATTCATCTAAAATTAGTTTTCTACTTTCTTTTGCATATAATGTCTGTTAGTTTTATTAACTTTTACTGTTCTTAATTGAAAAAAAAAACGTTTTAAAAATATTTGATAATTATACTATAAAAGGTATGTTAGTTGAGTGGACTATCCTTTATAGTTTAGAAACTATCACAAAAAAAACAGGAGGTAGAAATACATTGGCTATAGGCACACTCTTGCAACCTCTCCTGGTAGTCCTTCTTGCACAACCTGCATAAACGAACTAAACAAATATTTTATTTACTTGTCATGCGGAGGAGCTGTTTTATTTATTATTTAACATGATCATATCAAACACATTCTTTGGTGAATTCGACGTTTTAATTTTCACCCCTATCGATAATAGGTCACCCGCCGACTTTTTGTCGAAAACAATTCTATATTTATTATTTTAACATGAACATATCAAACTCATTCTTTGGCGGCAGCAAAGTTTTAATTCTCACCCCTATCGATAATAGGTCACCCGCCGACATTTTGTTGAAAAAATTTCTTTAGGTAACCTGGTTGAATGATGAATGTAAATTTTTAAAAGCGAATTTTCTTTTTTTTTAGCGGCGCTATAATTTATTCACACTTCCTCGCAATACCCAGTTTACGAGACAAAAGTGTGTCGGCTAACAATATTACAGCTAGATGTCTTTAGTACCGTTCGCTAGGTGTGGCGCGAATATCCCCCCTCCCCCCCCCCCCCCCCCACCCCATATCACATATTTCTAATTCTTTTCTGAGAGCCCTTCTCTATCGAATCTCTAGTATGACGGAAAAGATAGAGGGTCAGGGGGAATAGTATTCATATCAGTGGCTAACTATGGACTTTCTGCAGATAAAAAAGTAGTGTACGACTGTTAGTCAGGTGCTAACTATCAACTCGCACTTGATCCGTAACCTACATTCGCATCTAACTTAAACAACTTAACACTTCCGTTTTTTTTTTTTTTTTTTAATTTTTTTTTTTTGAATGGTCTGTAGTGGTTGGATAAGTAAGTCAAGATGTATGTTTGTAGATCTGTGTATCACCGTCGGCGAGTATGTTGCGGTGCCAGTGACATTTTGATGGATTTAAATATATATATATTACATTTCTACCCTGCTGCCATTAGGTGTTGTTTAATTGTAAACAGTTATATTTGTAGCTTTGAAGTACACGCAAATATCTCATCTGAAGAATGTCTGAAAACGTACTCTTAGTTGTATCAGCTTGTACGAATTTACGATTGATTTAGGTGGTAGAACGATGTTTTGTTGTATTTTATAGTTGTAGTTAGTCGTTTGTTTTGTTGTGGGATTAGTTATTTTGTATTTCTAAGTAATTTTTTCTTCGTAATTGTATTGTATGTTTTGTTGAGGGAGTATTACTTTTGTATTTCTCATTTCTACGTAATTTTATTTTAGTATTATCTTGTTGCTGCAGTTTTTGTTGTAGTTATAGTTTAGTATTATGTAGTTGTAGCAGTTGTCGTGTAGTTGTATTACGGTGAAGTTGTGTTCAGTAATTGTACTGAGTTATTTAGTTTTAGTGCGTTAGTTTTGAAGTTGAAGTAGTTTTTATTTTTGTTTATTTGTTTTTTGTTGTAATTTGTTTTGTACAAGCAATACAACGTCGATTCTGTAGCTGTATGGCATCAGTTATATCCATGTAGCAATATAGTTGTTCGTGTAATTTGTCATCTACAAAATTTTAAAAACGATCTTTTAACGAATGCTCTTTATTTTACATGGTTAATGCTTGTTTTCAGATTCTTATTTTTCCAAATTTAAAAGATGGAAATGGAACTTTTATATCGCAATGCCTTACAAAATATTTTTTTCAGAATACATAATTTGTCGGTGTTAACCTATTGTCGATAATGTCCGTTTTTAACTGTGTAGTTGTAGAAAACATAACAAAATAAGAACACAATAACAGAATAGTCATCTACTACAAAATTTTATTTATTCATTTTTTTACATGCAGTGGTTGAATTTCCTTGTTTTACTTTATCAAACAATACACGATGTCTTTCACTGTTGATACTGTTCATTTTTAAAGGCAATGGTACGAGTACATAGCTGAAGTAGTATTAAAACAGCGCTCTGGTCAGCATTAGGCAGCAACAGAAGACATGTTTGAGCGTAGAGTTGCTTTATGCTATCCACCGTCGACCGTGTCTGTGAAAGAAATTGGTTGGAGCAGTACGTTGGATAACGTTGTTTAAAAAAAAATCCACCCCTTCCTCCCAGCGCAAAAATCAATACTCCTTTTGGGTTTTATATGGATGTTGTGACTCTAAGCAAATTAATCGCGGGCTCTTCTTCTTGTTGCTTTTGCACACCATCTCCCTCCGCCCCTCCCCCTCCATTTTAATTGTGAATGCTGTTAATTTATACCGAGAATTTAAAAGACAACAGTAGATTTGTTATCCACTATAAATGCACACTAAGTCTGATTGTTTAATAGGGGTTTTGTTGTCAGTTTCATCCTAAGATTCTGTTCTTTGGTTTCTTATTGACCAGTCTTGGGCTAGTCAAGGCGGTGTTATATGCAGTCAGAGAAGGCAGAATAGTTAGTTCGTTACAGTGAAAATAATAGAGGAAATTTTAAAATCTACAAACTTACATACTTTACATACTTAAGATTCTTAAGATATCTTTGCATTAGCTAGTGGAATGTTGATATCCCTCTCTTCAGAAATAGAGTGCTAAAAGTATATATTTTATAAAGGTACTTTCAACTAATTCTTTACAGAGATTCTAAGGTAAAGGTTAAACATTGAAGGTAATAGTGCTAATGATTTTCTTTTCTGTCCATAAAAATAAAGCCTCATTTATACTGTAGTGGAATACTCCAGCACTTTCTACACTAATTTTTTGCAATTAAAACTCGCTTCAACTTAGAGTGATTCCGTCGCATGCTCTATGTTAGATTGTTTAAGCGCTCACTCTCGCCAACACTTGAACAAATCGAGATTTCAAACACGTTTCAAGTAGATCGACTTTTACCATGGTAAACATTCTCGTCGTTCACCCTATGCGACTTATGGGCGGAACTCACAGAATAGCTTTTTAAAGTGCGATTCACATGTTAAAAATGCGAGCCTTTTGAAAAAAAAAAAACCCGCGATGTTTTTTAGCTTAAAACCGTAACCCTGGATCGACAGCTCCTTGCTTGAGCGATGCCTCTCCCCGCCCCTCCCCACGGCTATGCGGGGAACTGATTGTAAGGTGTGATGCCTACATGTTAGGTAAAACAAATCTAAGTGTGAACCGTCACGACGGGTTATATTGTTGGCCCAGCTTTGTTGTTGGAGGGGGGGGGGGGCTGCTTCTAACCTTCTGTTGTCACGAACAGCGATTTAAAAAATAATAATCCATAATCCGTTTTGGAGGATATATTATTAAGATGTACACCCAATTACAGGTGTCTTTTGGTCCTCTAACTGAAAGCTAATAAAATGAACTTGATAATATTATTTGTATGCACTATAGTAAGCTCCAGTTGTACACATTATGGACTAGGTCGGAGACACATTTCAAGGTAATAGGTTTTCAAGTTTAAACGTAGGTTGGGAGTCATTGACCTAATTAACGGTTAATTACTAACATAACCCCTGGTGTTTTTTTTTATTTGTGCTAGGCGTTATTGCTAGTAATTGGCTACCATATCTCAGGATTTTCGTTCACAGCAAGTTATGGTTGTCATAGTCATATCATTGTAAAGTTATCGTTATCATATCTAGGATTTGCGTTTACAGCAAGATGGTTGTCATATCATCAAGTTATGGTTGTCATATGTCAGGATTAGCGTTTACAGCAAGTTATGGTTATCATATCATTATCAAGTTATGCTTATCATATGCCAGGATTTGCGTTTACATCAAGTTATAGTTATCATATCATTATCAAGTTATGCTTATCATATGCCAGGATTTGCGTTTACAGCAAGTTATGGTTATCATATCATTATCAAGTTATGCTTATCATATGCCAGGATTTGCGTTTACAGCAAGTTATGGTTATCATATCATTATCAAGTTATGCTTATCATATGCCAGGATTTGCGATTACAGCAAGTTATGGTTATCATATCATTATCAAGTTATGCTTATCATATGCCAGGATTTGCGTTTACAGCAAGCTATGGTTATCATATCATTATCAAGTTATGCTTATCATATGCCAGGATTTGCGTTTACAGCAAGCTATGGTTATCATATCATTATCAAGTTATGCTTATCATATGCCAGGATTTGCGTTTACAGCAAGCTATGGTTATCATATCATTATCAAGTTATGCTTATCATATGCCAGGATTTGCGTTTACAGCAAGTTATGGTT